CTCTGTTGCCCAGGCTGGAGTGCAGTAACACAGTCTTGGCTCATGGCAACCTCCACCTCTCGGGTTCAAGTGATTCTCCTGCCTCAGCCTCCTAAATAGCTGGGACTATAGGCATGTGCCACCATGCCCGGCTAAATTTTTTTTGTATTTTTAGTAGAGACAGGGTTTCGCCATGTTAGCCAGATGGTCTCGATCTCCTGACCTCGTGATCCGCCTGCTTTGGCCTCCCAAAGTGCTGGGATTACAGGCATGAGCCATGTCTCCTGGCCTAGAATTTTTTAAAAACATTAAATTATAGTATGCTGGTTGCATAATAACTCTCAATACCAAGTGTTAACTTTTATGTCATGCTGTTAGATAGGTCATGAAGCTTCTTAAAATCAAATTCTTTTTGCTTCAGATAAAATAAACATGCTGTATAGCTGTGTCTTTAGCCTTGAATCTCACAAAGCTGCTTAACTGGTAGAACAACAGATTGTCAGTGTACTTCCTTCTCTTCTGATTGGCTGAATACTTTAACTTATTGAGCATGCCTGGCTTTTTGTCTTCCAGCAATATCCAGATTATTATGCAATAATTAAGGAGCCTATAGATCTCAAGACCATTGCTCAGAGGATACAGGTATGAAGGTGACCATATGTAAATGTGTGTGGTTTAGAGCAGATTGGCCTATGATCTTTCCCAGGAGCTTTTAGAAAACAGAAGCTAGATGTCTCTGTAAGGGGTTAATAGCAAATCATGTAAACAAATTAATGTTACTGATTGTAGTTTTGGGTTGCATCTTAGGACAAAAAAAGCATTGGTTACTGACATTTCTGTTTATAAAAGATACATTGGCAATAAAAGCTTTGTCGTTTCATTTTTAAATTTTTATTTTTAATTTTTGTGGGTGCATAGCAGGTGCATATATTTATGGGATACATGAAATTTTGATACAAGCATACAATGCATTAATAATCACATCAGGGTAGACAGGGTAACTTGTGGTCTATTTTTATCTGCTTTGAAATAGCTTTAGGATACGTTAGAATAAAATGCACCCACAATGGATGTTAGAGTGTAAGGTCAGTGGAATTAGATGCTACATTTTTCTTTTTTGCTCTCTCTACCCTCACCTTCACTGTATCCCTAGCAGTAAATAGTAGCAACTAATCACTCACATAGACTTGCTATGTAACTAGTACTGTTTTAAGTGCTTTATGTGAATTAGCTAGTTAATTCTTAAAACTCCGCAGGGTAGTACTGTTAGTATTCTCATTTTGCAGGTAGAAAACTGAAGCCCAGAGACGTTAAGTAACTTACCCAAATCACCACCTAGTAAGGAGAGCTAGGATTTGAATCCAGACAGTCTGACTCCAGTCTGTGTTCTCAACCCTTACACTGTTTCTCCACAGAGTAGGTGCTTAATAAATACTGTGTGTCTGACTAGGTTTTAAAATTTGATGATTAGAAGTAAGGGAAAATATAGGGAGAAAGAGCTAAATTGTACCAGAAATTTAGTATTTAGAGTAGAACTGATGTGGTTCTTTTTCTAGCTCTACTACTTACCAGCTATGTCACTTTCGTCAGGTGATTTGCCTGTTTCCTCTGCTGTATGTTGCGTGTAGCATCACCACTTTGCAGAGTCATAGAGGTTAGTGGTAATATAGATAAATCATCTCACATAGAATGTACAGCATGAGGCCCCCGTAAATATGAGTCACTGATCTTCCCAGGATAAGGAGGGTTTGCTGCTCCCAGGAGGTAAGGCAAAAAGGAAAACAATGTGTTACATAGTCTCATTGAGAGATGAGACTGATAGCAACTGTGGTTTGCCAGGAAGGAGAAACTTCTTTGGCTTTAAATTCTAAGAGGTTAGTAAAGAGTAACAGTGTATAATTACTGGTACCACGGATAAATTTTCATGGAATGATAAAATGCAGATTCCCTAATGTATCATCTGTTTTTTTAATGGTGTTTTGTTTTGTTTTGAGACTGAGTTTTGCCTGTCACCCAGGCTGGGACGCAGTCGTGTGATCTCAGCTCACTGCAACCCCTACCTCCTGGACTCAAGTAATTCTCCTGCCTCAGCCTCCCTAGTAGCTGGGATTACAGGTGCCTACCAACATGACTGGCTAATTTTTGTATTTTTAGTGAAGATTGGTTTTCACCATGTTGGCCAGGCTGATTTCAAACTCCTGACCTCAAGTGATCCACCTGCCTTGGCCTCCCTAAGTGTTGGAATTACAAGCGTGAGCCACCATGCCCAGCCTCATCTGGTTTTTAAATCATTCCAATAACTGCTACTGAGAATGACTCAAGTCTCCTAAATCCCTGGAATTTCTAACATCTGAGTAGGGGGATTATGTTTTCATAATCCTGGAAATCGAATCAGATCTTTAGTCATCTGTACCTCAACCCCAGTCTTCTCTCTTTGACTTCTCACCTTATCTTGTCCTTTCTTCTTTCCAAAAGTCTCAGAGTCGCCTTTTGCTGTCACCCGATTCAAGGTCCTTGTCCTCTTATGTCCAAATAACTGGAATAATCTGTCCTACCTCTCTGATGAAAAGCTTTCTAGTCCTTTCTGTATCTTGCCCCCTGACCTTGGCTTTCTTCCTGCCAGTCCCCTGCTCAGAGACTTAATTCACTTGTTTTCTAATGCCTGCTAAAGCATGTCACAACTCCTTGTACCAGTTGAACAAAACCAACTCTGACTAACTTAAGGAGAAAAGAAATTTTTGAAAAGCGTATTGGATAGCTCATAGAATTATTGGGAAGGAAGGTTGAAGAACTAGCCTTTGAATACTAGGCAGAACTTAGGAACATTATGGCACAGCTGAGATTATGCACAGCCTTTGTGGTGCTATTGCTGTTACTACTGTCATTTGCCACTGTGGTCCCTGGATATTTGCTGTTCCACTGCTAGACTCTTCTCCCCTTCAAGAGTTGGGAATGAATTCCTGCCATTGCAGGAGTCAGGAATGAATCCTGGCCATTGCATTAGTCCCTCTAGACCTAAGCATGAATTAGCTGATCTGTGGACCTGTGGTTATTTCCTCTTGCCCTGGCTGCCAGGCTGCTAACAAAGTGACCATCTGCCCACTCTCATCCTCATTGTGGGAGGTAGAGCCTTCCCTACGCCTGTGCTGGGATTCCCTCAGTATACGAAGGATGCATAGTTGTTGGGTAATCTCACATGATGAATAGCTACACTCCTTTGTCTGGATTGTGTCTCTTTTGTTTTTACCCTACCTGTGCTTATGGTTCTACCCTTCACCTTCCACTTCACTTAGTTTGGTTTTCTCACTCTCTCCAAGCCATGTCTTTTTCATTTCTGTGTACTTATCATTAGTCATGTGTGCCTCTTACCTAAAAATGTGTCCCTCTTTCATTTTCTTTGTAAATTTAGGCAACTATATGAGTATTCCTGGGTCATTTTGGATTGAGTGAGCTTAAGATGTGATAGCTGTAGCACACAGTAGGTACTCACAAAATGTTAGCCTCTGTGCTGGACTGATTTCATATTTTACCCCAAGTAGTCCATGTAACTAGAGGGAGATTTGCTTCACACTACTAAATCCATTTGAAAGAATTAGTATTCATGAAGAACTTAGAACTGTGCTTGGCACATAGTAAGCACTTTGTGTTTGTGAGATAAAACTTTTACCTTAGGTACCTGACTTTTTAAACATTGTAATTTATTTTTATGAGAATAATGCAACTCTGGTTTTACCTATCTCAAAAACTTACTTATAAATGGGTGCCGTAATAATTTATAAAAAAGAAAATGACTTTACATGTTGTTAATCTGTGTACTTTCCAATAAAGTCCGAGAATATGGTGACAATTTAGAAATATGTAGAGGGTTTTTTTTTAAAGGTTGTACTCACTCATTAAACGGAACTGCTGTATTTTGTTGTTTGCTGTAGAATGGAAGCTACAAAAGTATTCATGCAATGGCCAAAGATATAGATCTCCTAGCAAAAAATGCCAAAACTTATAATGAGCCTGGTTCTCAAGTATTCAAGGTTAGTTTTTGTTGTTTTCATTGGTAATAGTAGATAGTTTAATTTAAGGTCAATAATTTTTATATAACAGATTTATTGAGATATAATTCACATACCATCCACTTTACCCATTTAAGGTATTTAATTTAATAGTTTTTAGCATATTCATAGAGTTGTGCAATGCAGCCATTACTCCAGTCAATTAACAATCGCTTTTTTTTTGAGACGGAGTCTTGCTCTGTTGCCAGGCTGGAGTGCAGAGGCGCAGCCTCGGCTCACTGCAACCTCCACCTCCTGGGTTCAAGAGATTCTTCCGCCTCAGCCTCCTGAGTAGCTGGGACCACAGGCGTGTGCCACCATGCCCGGCAAATTTTTTTGTATTTTTAGTAGAGACCGTTTCACCGTGTTGGCCAGGATGGTCACGATCTCTTGACCTTGTGATCTGCCCACCTTGGACTCCCAAAGTGCTGGGATAACAGGTGTGAGCCACCACACCCAGCCAACAGTCGCTTTTTATGTCCCCCCAACGTCTCCAGCCCTAAGCAACCTCAAATCTGTTTTCAGTCTCTATATGTTTGCCTATTGCCATATTATACATATGAAATCATAAAATATGGGGTATGGATTTTTTTGCTTCTAGATTCCTTCACTTTAGCATGTTTTCAGGGTTCATCCATGTTGTAGCATCTGTCAGTGCTATGTTCTTTTTATTGCTGAATAATGTTCTACTATATGGTTATACTGTATTTTATTTACCCATTCATTAGTTGATAATATTTAGATAGTTTCTACTTATTGACTATTATAAATAATGCTGTTGTGAATGTTCACATCGAAATTTTTATGTGGACATATAAATAAATACATATATTATACATGTTTTTTTTTTTTTTTTCCTCTTGGATTCATACCTAGGAATGATATTGCGGGGTCATGTGGTAACTGTATATTTAACTTTCTGAAGAACCGCCAAACTGTTTTCCAAACTATACCATTTTACATTCCCACCAGCAATATCCAGGGGTTACCATTTCTCCATATCCTCACCAACACTTGTTTTCCATTTTTGTTTTTGTTCTTCTTGTAGCTATCTCAGTGGGTGTGAAGTGGTATGGCATTGTGCATTGTGGTTTTAACTTACATTTCCCTAATGATTAATGATGTTCAAGATCTTTTAATTTTATTCTTTATTTTGATTTTTAGGTCATTCCTATGTTTTTGGAGAAATGTCCAGATCATTTGCCCGTTTTTTTAATTGTGTCACCTGTCTTTTTGTTGTTGAGTTGCAAGAGTTCTTTGTATGTTCTGGATATTATACGCTTGTCATATAAATGGTCTGCAAATATTTTCTCTCATTCTCTTGTCGTTTCACTTTTGTGATCGTGTCTGTTGACACAGAAGTTTTTAATTTTGATGAAGTCCACTTTATCTATTTTTTCCTTAGTTGCTGATGCTTAGGTGTCGTATCAAATAAACCATTGCCTAATGCAAAATCACAAATACATACACCTGTGTTTTCTTATGAGAATTTTATAGTTTAGCTCTTAACATGTTTAGATCCTTGATCCAGTTTGAATTAATTTTTGTATGTGTGAGGTACATGTAAGGTAGGAGTCCAAATCCATTCTTTGACATGAGATATTATCCCAGCGCCATATATTGAAAAGATTATTCTTTTTCCATTGAATTGTCTTCGCAACTTTGTTAGAAATCAATTGGCCACAGACGTATGAGTTTATTTCTAGATTCTTGGTTCTGTTCCACTCACCTGAATTTCTGTCCTTATGCCCGACCTGGTTAGTTTTGAACTCATTTTTTAGTTAAATACTGACTTACTCCCTGCATTTAAACTTCATAAATATAACAAGCAGTCTGTATATATAAAAATACACAATGTAAAATGACTGTTTCATTGCTTTGCAAATTCCCTCTTTGAAGTTTTATAGTTCTGTAATGAATAATTGCTTGTAGAAAGTTATTGAATTAATCATATATCATTGATAATTTGCCAAAGGATGCTCAGAAAATCTTTTGGGAATGAAATCATTTAGATTTTCTGAATGCTGACTTAAGTACTCAAAACTGCTGTTGGTAGTTAATGATAACTTTTATTTTTCATATTTTAAGAAATGCTGGGCAGGGCGTAGTGGCTCACGCCTGTAATCCCAGCACTTTGGGAGGCCGAGGGTGGGTGGATCATGAGGTCAAGAGACAGACCATCCTGGCCAACATGGTGAAACCCCGTCTCTACCAAAAATCAAAAAATTAGCTGGGCATGGTGACATGCACCACACTGCTTAGGGAAGCTGAGGCAGGAGAATCACTTGCACCCGAGGCAGAGGTAGCAGTGAGCCGAGATCACACCACTGCACTCCAGCCTGGGTGACAGAGTGAGACTCTGTCTCAAAAAGAAAAAAAGAAATTCCGAGTGAATATCAGGATAGGACATTTTGATAGTGTACAGTGCTAGTTGTTTGAGAATTTTACTTTTGGGTCTAATTATTTTTTCTAACATAAGTTTTAAAGAAAAGAGAAACTTAAGCAAGTACATTCATTCTAAACTTATGTATATAAGTTTATATACTTATGTATATAATCTTTAATCTTAAAAGTGCATCTTTATTTTGATTTTTAGGTCAGTGTACACAAGTAGAGTTCATTGTCCATAGTTCATCACCTTTTCTGTGGTTCTAAGGTCAGAAAATATTAAATGTATTAAATGGAAAATTCCAGAAATAAGCAGTTCATAAGTTTAAATTGCACACCATTCTGAGTATTGTGATGAAATCTCATGCCATCCACCTCTGTCCTATCCTGTCTCACCTGGGACATGAATCATTCCTTTGTTCAGCCTATTCACACTGTATATGCCACCTGCCGTTAGTCACTAAGGTAGCCATCTTGGTTATCAGATCGATTGTTATGGTATCACAGGGCTTGTGTTCAAGTAACCGTATTGTACTTAATAATGGCACCAAAGGACAAGACTTATGATGTTGGCAATTCAATATGCTTTAAAGTGATTCCTTTTAGTGAAAAGGTGAAAGTTCTTGACTTAAGAAAGGAAAAGAAAAAAGCATGCAGAGATTGCTAAGATCTATGGTAAGAACGAATCTCCTGGCTGGGCACTGTGTTTAGGCCTGTAATCCCAGCACTTTGAGAGGCCAAGGCAGGAGGATCATTTGAGGCTAGGAGCTTGAGACCAGCCTGGTCTACATAGCAAGACTGTTTCCACCAAAAAAAAAAAAAAAGAAAGAAAGAAAAAAAGATGAATCTGCTATTCATGAAACGGTAAAGAAGGAAAAAGAAGTTTGCTGTTTTTTTTTTTTTTTTTTCTTCTTGAGACAGACCGTTGCCCTGTTACCAGGCTGGAGTGCAGTGGCACAATCTCCACTCATCGCAACTGCCGACTCCCTGGTTCAAGTGATTCTTCTGCCTCAGGCTTCCAAGTAGCTGGGATTACATGCACATGCCACCATGCCTAGCTAATATTTGTATTTTTAGTAGAGATGGGGTTTCATCATGTTGGCCAGGCTGGTCTCGAACTCCTGATCTCGTGATCCACCCGCTTCTGCCTCCCAAAGTGCTGGGATTACAGGCATGAGCCACTGCGCCTGGTCGAAGTATGCTAGTTTTATTGTTGCACCTTAGACTGCAAAAAGTTATAGCCACAGTGCATGAAAAGTGCTTAGTTAAGATGGAAAAGGTATTAAATTTGTGGCTGGAAGTCATAGACTGAAATGTGTTCCAGGTTTGGTACTGTCCAAGGTTTCAGGCATCTACTGGGGGTGTTGTTATATCTTCCATGGACAATGGGGCATTACTGTATTATACCAGTAGATCTTTGTCTTAATATTACTTGACTAATCATGAAAGAACTAGGAGGCATTTTAACTTACATTTAGTTAGTGACAACTTTATGAAGATAGATATTTTGGAAGCTTGCAGAAAGGTTAGAGGATGCAGGTTTGTGGATATTGTATGGAAATTTGCTCCAAGTGGAAAGAGTACCGTAGATGGTGCCCAGAGCATGAGTTGGGGGTTTTAGCTGTCCTTTTATCTGTTCCTTTTTTAAACCAAGTAATTTCATCTTGACAGGATGCAAATTCAATTAAAAAAATATTTTACATGAAAAAGGCCGAAATTGAACATCATGAAATGGCTAAGTCAAGTCTTCGAATGAGGTAAGTTTAAGAAAATGTCTAAGCCAGGCGTAGTGGCTCACACCTGTAATCCCAGCACTTTGGGAGGCTGACGCGGGCGGATCATGAGATGAAGAGATTGAGACCAACCTGGCTAACATGGTGAAACCCTGTCTCTACTAAAAATACAAAAATTAGCTGGGCATGGTGGTGGTGCATGCCTATAGTCCCAGCTCCTCGGGAGGCTGAGAGAGGAGAATCGATTGAACCCAGGAGGCAGAGGTTACTGTGAGCCAAGATCGCACCACTGTACCCCAGCCTTGTGACAGAGCAAGACTCTGTCAAAAAAAAAAAAAAGAAAGAAAATGTCTAAACCCCCCCTGCCTTTATATTTGCTGAATTTTCTAGGTAGTTAAATCAATAAACATAAACATGGTTGGTGTTGCATTTCAAGATGATACTTACAGTTGGTAATATGATTCTGAAGATAGTAGTAACTCTTAGCCAGCCCCTTCATTGCTGCTGAAGGGCTTTATTTAAAAATAAGCATTTTTAAAAACTTAACATCACTATATACTTTTATTGCTTTGTACAGTATGAATATATATACATATATGTAATATATATTATACGTTAATATTACACAGAATAAATATGTATTTAATAGTACAGTATTTATATATAATATCAGTTTATATTCGGTTTTTGGGTAAGGCTATTTAGCCAGTTATCAGGAAACCCACAGACTCATCCTGGCTTTTCCTTATACTAGAACTGTGATCTTGAAGTAGTCTTAGTTTTAGGATTGTATTTCCCCCTACCTGAAATGAGAAGGTTGGGTAACTACTTTCAAAGCTTTCCTCTAGGCTTAACATTGTTTCGATACCAGGTGTTTTGGTCACTGCAGTGACGAGAAGCTCTCTAGGACCAGCCCTGATCTGTTTTTCCTTGCAGAGTCCCCAGGACCTGAAGCAGAATATGCTGCACAGTAGAAGTTCAGTATTTTAGCATTTCTATTTAGATGAGAAGAAAATGGGTGTGTGTGTGCGTGTGTGTGTGTGTGTACGAGTGTATGTGTGTGTGTACCCACACATAGCTACCAGGTTTCTAAGCATTTTTATCTTATCTCTGGATAGGACTCCATCAAACTTGGCTGCAGCCAGACTGACAGGGCCTTCACACAGTAAAGGCAGCCTTGGTGAAGAGAGAAATCCCACTAGCAAGTATTATCGGTGAGAAAAAGTGTTTAGTCCGAGAGCTGACCTGTGCTTATGAAGATATGCATACTAGTATTTTCCCAGTGGCTATTTTGAAGGAATATTTTGGGTATAGTTGGGTTGTTATGAAAATTTGTTGTCAAATGGTTTATTTAAAAGGTTCCGTTACTAGGCTGGGCTTGGTGGCTCACACATGTAATCCTAACAGTGTTAGGAGGCTGAGGTGGGGGATCACTTGAGGTCAGGAGTTCGAGACCAGCCTGGCCAACATGTTGAAACCCCATGGATGTGGTGCTGGACACCTGTAATCCCAGCTACTTGGGAGGCTGAGGTGGGAGAATTGTTTGAACCTGGGAGGTGGAGGTTGCAGTGAGCTGAGATATGTCACTGCACTCCAGCCAGGGCAACAGAGGGAAACTCCGCCTCAAAATAAAAAAGGTTGAGTTACTAAAGTAAGCCTTACATCGCCTCTCAGACAATGCTTAAGCATCATTTGTGAGGCAGTGTTTAATGTTAGTTACCAATAAAATGTGAAGTTAAATACTAATAGGTTTGTTTGTTTGTTTGTTTTGAGACGGAGTTTTGCTCTTGTTACCCAGGCTGGAGTGCAATGGCGTGATCTCGCCTCACCGCAGCCTCCGCCTCACCGCAGCCTCCGCCTCCTGGGTTCAGGCAATTCTCCTGCCTCAGCCTCCCAAGTGGCTGAGACTACAGGCGTGCACCACAATGCCCAGCTAATTTTTGTATTTTTAGTAGAGACAGGGTTTCACCGTGGTGACCAGGATGATCTCGATCTCTTGACCTCGTGATCTACCTGCCTCGGCCTCCCAAAGTGCTGGGATTATAGGCGTGAGTCACTGTGCCCAGCCTAGGTTTTCTAAATTCAGAATAGAATTTGTTTTGGGTGTGTGTTTTTTTTTTTTTTTTGAGATGAAGTTTTGCTGTCTTTGCCCAGGCTGGAGTGCAGTGACATGATCTCTGCAACCTCCACCTCGCGGGTTCAAGCGATTCTCCTGCCTCAGCCTCCTGAATAGCTGGGATTACAGGTGCCTGCTACCACACCAGGCTAATTTTTTGTATTTTTTATTTTTTAAGAGATCGGGTTTCAACGTGTTGGCCAGGCTAGTCTTAAACTCCTGACCTCAGGTGATCCACCCGCCTCGTCCTCCGAAAGCGCTGAGATTACAGGCATGAGCCACCATGTCTAGCGTTACAATTCAGTTTGTGTTATAAAATATGAATGTCTTCAAAGAGAATTATCAGCAACCGTGACTGAATCCTTATTTTCCACTCCCTCTTTTCTGAGAGGAAAAAAGTTTCCTTGGCTAAAGGTTGATTATGAGGACCATTAAGTACAGAAAGAAACTAAGGAGGCAGTTGAATAGAAATTATTTTTCTTTTACCTTAACACATTGTTAACAGTTCCTATTCCCTATAAAGTAACCTAATTATTATAACATCCTTCCCTGTCTTCTGATGGCCTTTTTTTTTTTTTTTTTTTTTTTTAGTAATAAAAGAGCAGTACAAGGAGGTCGTTTATCAGCAATTACGATGGCACTTCAGTATGGCTCAGAAAGTGAAGAAGATGCTGCTTTAGCTGGTAGGCATTAGGTTTTCAGTAGTCAAATGCCTTCTCAGTGGATCCTTCTGGCTAAAGGAAATTGTAGTGATTTTCTTCTAGCCTAGAGTTTGCTGGTTTGGGAAGTACATGCTATTTTGTTGCATTTGATTGTACCCTGGTTGTCATATTTATCAAACGCTTAATGCTTTATCTTGTCTTAAACTCATATTTGGGTAAATTATACTTCTGCAAAAATAATTGATAATCTAGGAGATCCTGATTTAAAACCTACAATGATAGTGAGAACTAGTAAACGCATCAGAAAATCTCAGAAATCCACATTCATATTAGATTTTCAGGCCTTTAGCTTACATTTTCAGTAGGTTCTAATTTCTTCTTGGCTAGAACTTATGATTTAAAGGTATATAAGTTATAATCAGAAAGCAGTGTGGTAAATTGTCATTTAAACAAGCCCAAGAAAGGGCATTATTAGGCATTAGAAATCAATGTTAAAGAACACCATGTGTTAATAAATAACATCCTAAAGGACAGTAGTAGAGGTATATTTGATGTAATTGTCTTTCTCTTAAGTTTTATATAATATTTTCCCTTTTACCATAAATTTTTTTTGTGTGTAAAGATAAAATTTGTTTCACTAAATTATTCTGGTATATCTGTCAATTTTACAACTGAATGTTATACAACAGATTTCTCCAGTTGTATCTTGTTTTTAACTAAATCTTTTATAGAAATTTCATAATCATTATACACCATTATTTATAAATCTACCTTTTTGACACATTGATCTACAGAATTAAGTATTTTTAAATTTAAATTGGGCCTGGTCTTACCAGAAATTGAAAAAAATAATATCTTGTTGTTAGCCTTCTTTTTTACTGATTATAAAAGTGACACATGGCTGGGCACATTGGCTCACACCTGTGATCCCAGCACTTTGGGAGACTGAGGCAGGTGGATCACTTGAGGTCAGGAGTTCAAGACCAACCTGGCCAACATGGTGAAACCCTGTCTCTACTGAAAATACAAAAATTGGCTAGGCATGATGGTGCATGTCTATAGTCTCAGTTACTTGGTCGGCTTAGTCAGGAGAGTCTCTTGATCCCAGGAAGCAGAGGATGCAGTGAGCTGAGATCACGCCACTGTACTCTTGCCTGGGCAACAGAGCCAGA